ACCGTCTCGTGAAAAATTACTTCATTTTTTTAATTTTAAAGGCAGTAATATTTTAAAATTTTAAAAATTTTAAAAATTTTAAGAATATTAATATTAATTTTAGAAGTATTGACAATAAGAATATTTAAATATATTTTTGAAGTTGTAAAAAAAATTTAAAAGTAATAATAATCTTTTTTTTTTAAGTTGAAAGGTATTTTTGAAATTATTTAAAAAGTTTGAATATATATTTTAAGTTTGATACCCAAATATTATTATTAAGCTCATTTTAATGTCTGATAATCTGTCTCATCAATACCTAGTGTTCTCTTTTGGCCCATTGGGCCAGTCTTGTATGAGAAAAGGCTTTAGCCCATCAAAGAATGCCACGTGAATATTAAATATTACCAATTGCCACGTGTAATTTCTTCTTCTCTTGTTCACATAAAATGTTAAAAGGCCCTAAGAGCATACCATAGACCAAGCCCACCGATCCGATCTAATAGAGCACGACCGAACTCCAGGTCAATCTCATATACATAGAAAGAGAAAAAGCATGCACGAGATTTGTGATGCATGACAGAAAACTTGGGTTGAATTCATGTAAGATCCCACGTTGTGTTTTAAAGTTTTGAAGAGAAGCCCGAAAGAGAAAGCTCACAGATGACAATATCTACTAGTAGTGGGCTTGAGTTGGGTTTGAGCCGTTACAATTCCGGCATCAATACATTTTCAAGCTACTGTAAATATTTTTTTGACCATAGTATAGTGGTTAGAATAAGGTAAAATAATCGACTTTCATGGAGAGGCCGACGGAGTGTTTTAACCTCGTTGAATTTTGGGCATGTGAGATTGGGCGGAGGCTAGGCTTAAAAATGTTTGGTCTCTTTTGTGTATAACAAATAAACGTGAAAATTTTTAATTGTTTGTACGAAACGGATCATGTGAAACAACGAATGCAAAAACCGAAACAATTTAATTCAAATCCATCTCTTGTGCTATTGAGAAAAAGCCCTTTGCCCAAACCACACCCCGCGGCCCATCTCCGATCAGATCTGTTCTCTTTTTATCTCTAGATCTGCCCACCAACGAGGCAAAAAAAAAAAAGAAAAAAGAAAAAAAAAGAACCCTCGATTCGTTTCTATCTAAAGTATTATGCAGAATTCTTGTTTCGAAATGCTCAATCATGGGCATTAAATCGCTGAGATTGAGAAGATTTGCGCATTGATTTTGCTGAAATGGGATCGGCTGAATCCGTTCAAGTAGCGGAGGAACGAGAGGAAGATGAGGAGGAGGAGGAGGAGGAGGAGGAGGAGGAAGAGGAGGAAGACGACGACGGCGATGATGGTGATGATAATGTCGAGCCGGTGAGGGCTGAATTGGAGAACTATTTGGTGAAGAAGGTTCTTGAGCAGGAGCCGGAGATGCTACCATGTCACGCATTGGCGTCGCCGTTGTCTCCTCAGCTATCATCCCTCGGTACGCCTCGGTTAGGGCCAGCGATCAAGGTTTGGGATCCGTATAATGTCCTGGCGCCGCCGCCGCAGCTTCCTCCACCGCCGATGTTTACGCGGAGCTTCTCGTCGAGTTCTATTGACGACGATCGGGTGGTTATGGAGGTTTTTTTGATCAGCCACGGGGAGTGTGAGTTGAATTTGAGATCGGACTTGGTTGGCGGGCGGTGCCCTGAGGCGGCTTTGACGCCGAAAGGCAAGCGGCAGGCGAGAGCGTTGGCGGTGTTCTTGAAATCACAGGGGGTTCGTTTCAATGCCGTGTTTTCGTCTCCCTTGGATCGGGCTCGATCCATGGCAATTTCGGTTTGCCAGGTAATTACTCGTCTCATTATGCCCATCAACTGTTTGTCATTTGTCCTCTGAGGCATTGAATTCTGTTTGAACTTGTGATTGAATCAATGTAACTTGGTTCGTTAGTCTCTTGTTCATGCTTTGTCTGAATTTTATGGAACGCTTTGTTCAAAGGACCAATGAAGCCGATTTAGAATCTGTGAAGTTCTTAGCATAAACAAACTAAATAAGGAAGGGGCTATGCAGTGCCATTATAACTGTATAGTTTAGGTAAGCTAGCAATGGATAGCACTACGTTCGAGTTAGATCCCACATCGGTTGGAGAGTGGAATGTTCCCTATGACGATGTGGAAACCTCCCCAGTAGACGCTTTTAAAAACCTTAAGGGGAAGTCTGAAAGGGAAAGCTCAAATAGGACAATATCTGGTAGCGGTGAGTTTGGGTTGTTACTAATGGTATCAGAGCTAGACACTGGATGGTGTGCCAGCGAGGATGCTGGGTCCCAAAGGGAGTGGATTATTAGATCTCACATGGGTTGGAGAGGGGAACGAAACATTCTTTATAAGGGTGTGGAAACCTCATCCTAGTAGACGCGTTTTAAAAACCTTGAGGGGAAGCTCGAAAGGGAAATGCCAAATAGGACAATATCTGCTAGTGGTGGACTTGGGCTCTTACAAATGGTATAAGAGCTAAACACTGGATGGTGTACCAACGAAGACACTGGATGGTGTGCTAACGAAGACATTGGTCCCAAAGGGGGTGGATTATTGGATCCCACATTAGTTGGAGAGGAGAACGAAACATTTCTTATAGGGGTGTGGAAACCTCTCCCTAGTAGACACTAGTAGACAGGGGAAGTCCGAAGAGGAAAGCTCAAATAGGACAATATTTGCTAGCGGTGGGTTTGGGTTGTTACCAATGGTATCAGAGCTAGACACCATATGGTGTGCCAGTGAGGGCGCTGGGTCCCAAAAGGGGTGGATTATTAGATCCCACGTCGGTTGGAGAGGGTAACAAAACATTTTTATAAGGGCGTGGAAACCTCGTCCTAGTAGACGCACTTTAAAAACTTTGAGGGGAAGCTCGAAAGGTAAAGGCCAAATAGGACAATATTTCCTAGCGGTGGACTTTGGCTCTTACAAATGGTATAAGAGATGGTGTGCCAGCGAAGACGCTGGCCCCAAAGGGGGTGGATTATTAGATCCCACATCAGTTGGAGAGGAGAACGAAACATTCCTTATAAGGGTGTGGAAACCTCTCCCTAGTAGACAGGGGAAGTCCAAAGAGAAAAGCTCAAATAAGACAATATCTGTTAGTGGTGAGCTTGGGCTGTTACACTTGATGTTCTTAGGGAGGGTTATAGATGATTCGTTTTGTTGATGATGGATCAAAATGGTTGAAAGTATGGCCTGCATGTTAGAAACGATTGATAACTGTAGCTGATACAGCCTACAAGCGACTCCCTTATGTCTTTGATTCTTTTCTCTGCATTGTTTCTTGAATTATGCAAGCCATCTATGCAATGAACTTGTAGGAAATAAATTTTACGGAGGAACAAATACAAACTTCAGATGCCCTTACAGAGATGAGTCAGGGACACTGGGAGCGTTGCCTCCGGTCCGAGATATATACACCTGAAACATTGAGCTTCATCGATAGAATGCAGCCCGACTTCTCGCCACCAGCTGGAGAATCGCTAAGGCAGGTTGAATTCCGTATGGTTCATTTTCTGAACGGAACCATCTTGGAACTTCCTGAAAAGCTCAGGTCAGACGTTGTATCCCACCATCCAAACGAGACACTTCAAATCTCGCACGAACTAACCAACTCAATTCACAATCGAGATAGCCAGTCTCTTCCATCCTCGCAATGGGATTTGCCTCAAAGGCAACGACACGGGATCACGAGGAAAAAGTCTGGCAAAAGCAGGCTGCAAACTGTGACCACCACCGGAGAACATGAAGTTGATGACGAGCTCTCCCCTCGCGATGCAACTCACCAAAGTACACTTAATGATCTACGTATCAGAAACTCTTCCTCGTGTACGACTTGTATCGCCGTCTTCACACATTCAATTCCTATTAAATGTCTTCTCACAGGCCTCCTAGAATGCAGCTTGGTAATGCTGCATAAGTTTTGCATTGAAGATTCATCTGTGACTGTTCTACAGCATTCACTGAAATCGGGCTGGCAGATTAAAACGCTGAACGATACCGCACACCTGAGGCTTCTCTAGAGCAAGAAATTCCATTCCCCTACGGGTCGAGTCGAACACCGAACACCGAACACCGTAGGAGGAGGATCTGTTGTTACATAATGGCCAAATCTGCCATTTATATAATTTTTGGATTGAACATTTATTTTTCCATCCTTTTCCTCATGTTTTTTTGGCACTAGCAGGCAATATTCCTGCATTCCTGTTGTAAACTTCTCTAGTATTTATGATAGATTCCACCCCAACCTCACATAGAATTATGATAGATTCTTTTGATATGTACCATTTTTATTATTGATCTTCAGGCACGATCTTCCCGTGAAAGCAGGTTGGTATCACAGCTCGAGGTGGATGAGAAATCTACTTGCTTGGTTGTTTTGATCATAAAATGCATAAAATGTTGTTCTTTTTATCATCATTTGTAGACATTATCACTAATCTTTAGCCACGATCGTTTCGGGAAAACAGGTCGGTATCGCAACTCGAGGTGGATGGGAAGTCTACTTGCGTGGTTGTTTGATCCCAAAATGTTGTTCTTCTTATCGTCATTTGCAGACATTATCATTGATCTTCAGGCACGTCTCGGGGAATAGATTGGCGTTGGAGTTGGAGACAGATGAGAAATCTACTTGCTTGGTTGTTTTGATCATAAAATGTTCTTTTTATCGTCATTTGCAGACATTATCACTGATCTTTAGGCACGATCGTCTCGGGAAAACAGGTTGGTGTCACAGCTAGAGACGGGTTGGAAATCTACTTGCGTGGTTATTTTGATCCCAAAATGTTGTTCTTATCATCATTTGCTAACATGATCATTGATCTTCAGGCACATCTTCTCGTGTTAACATCGCAGCTCAAGGTGGATGGGAAATCTATTTGCGTGGTTGTTTTGATCATAAAATGTTATTCTTTTTATCATCATTTGCAGACATTATCATTGATCTTTAGGCACGATCGTCTCGGTAAAACAGGTCGACATCGGAGCTAGCTAACGGATGGGAAATGTGTCAATGTCTTGATCCCAAAATGTTGTTCTTTTTGTTATCATTTGCAGACATTATTGTTAAGTGGAAGCAAAAAGACAGCCAAATTGCTACTAGAAAGTAGAAAGAAAGCCTTTTCATGTTGTCACAAAACGGTGCCGTCACATGGGACTGGAACCTGTCCGCCATTAAAATAGCCATCTAAGATCGCTGGAATCTTTCTGTACTTCGAGGACCGAAACCCGACAAAATTACAGTCATACCAAACGACGTCGTAATTTCATGTGGATAACAAACACTGTCGTTCCCGTGATGTTCAGTTACCCAATTCCCAAAACTTCCTCTTCGATTGCTTTATCCCTTCCTTTTCCCATAATTCCCATCAATCTTTCAACCCACCACCTGTAATCATTTCTTAAAAAGCTCTCTCCGACATCAATGGCTACCGCCGCCGCCGCATTCTTCTGCGTTGCCTTGTCTCTGGCTGCCTTTTTTGCCGTATCTCCAGCAGCCGTCTCTGCTATATCGGCTTCTCCACCTGTTCCGCCGCACAGAGCTTCCCAAAATATGTCTTCGTTTTTCCCATCTCCGGTCGATGGGCGTTCTTCTCCCATTTCTGCTGCTCCGGCGCCGGCGACGGCGCTGGAATCCGGCGAGTTCATAGGGAAGAGGAGTGGGTCCAATTCTGTGAAGCTCAATCATGGGATCTCAGCTTTTGGTTTGAGTATTTGTAGTGTTTTTAGTTTAAGACTGTTTCTTAACGTTTGATTCGTAGATTTGATGTTTGAAATTGTGTTTTTAGAACTCTCTTGAATTGTTACCAAAATTGGTTTGAAGTTGTGTGCGTTGATGAATAAATCACTCTTACCTTATTTTAAATATTATTCAACAAATCAATTTATATATTTTAATTTTGGATTAATTAATTAAAAATATAAATTAATAATTGTATTAATCCAAACCCTACATATTTATAAGTAAATTGATTCTATTAAATCGAGGTTTTAATTGATACAATAATTAATATTTACTATTAAAGTTTAGAAGAATTGAACAAAAATGTAATGTCAAAATACAATTTATTAATTAAATTTTTTTTTTTGGAGAGTGGGTAAAAAGAAAACGATAAATTTTAATCCAACTTTCAAAATTACAAATTTATTTCACAAATATTTAAATTTTTTAAAATAAAAAAATGATTTTATTATATAAAAAAAATCAAATATATGTCTATTACATTAGTTAATTTTAATTTTTTTTTCCCATTTTCAATGACATATAAAACACGAAATTAAAATTTCAAGAAATTATTAAAAATGAAAAATAAATTTTAGGAATTTCCAATTAAACATTACTTAAAAAAAAAGACTCTCTTCCATAATTATTTTGTTTTTTAAAATAAAACTTATAAACTATGGTCTCATTATCTTTTTTTTTTTAAACAATTAAAAAAAAGTAGTTTATAGACAAATTTGAAAAAAAAAAAGATAATTTTTTTTTATAAATTTAATTTAAAATTCAAATCTCTTCAAAATTTCACTAAAAATTTGTTAAAAGAAAATATAATTTTTTGAAATTAAAAAAATTGTGTACGGTAGTAATTAACAAGTTCATAAAATATATGATTTTAATTGATATTGATATTAGGGAAACCGGAATTGCTTGCCGCCGCCAACAAGAAACGGATGTGGAAAGGGAAGCTAAATGATCATGGCGGACACTGACCAGAAACAAGAAGGTTTCTACAAATGATTTGTGAATGGGAATTCCGAATCGCCGTTCAGTTGAATTGGCGCTTCATTTGAAGCTCTGTTGGCGCCGATACTCGAGCAATTCCAATCTCGCGACATGGTTCAACAAACACGTTGATAAATCCAATGTGCATTCATGGAACTCAGTCATCGCCGATTTGGCTCGCAGTGGCGATTCGGTTGAAGCCCTTCGTGCCTTCTCCTCCATGCGGAAGCTTGGCCTCAGCCCCACACGCTCCACTTTTCCCTGCGCCATCAAATCCTGTTCCGCTCTCTGCGATCTCGTCTCCGGCAGGATGTCTCACCAGCAAGCGTTTGTGTTCGGCTTCGAGAATGATCTTTTTGTGTCATCCGCTCTTATCGATATGTACTCGAAATGTGGCGAGTTGAAGGATGCACGAGAACTGTTCGACGAAATTCCCCTTCGAAATGTGGTCTCGTGGACATCGATGATTACCGGGTAATGTTATAACTAATGCTGTATCTGAAAGCTTAAGTGGATAGATTCAAGTAAATTTGAACTTTCACTCATTGAATTTGAACACATAGCCATCTTTACATGACTTCCTCCTACTTGCTAAGGGATTATGATAAGTTTAACATGTTGTTCATATTCTTATTACTCTTGTACTCATATTCGCCATTTTGTTCAAGATAACCATGTTAAATCACCCAGAGTTTAATTTGGTAGGTCTGAGGAAATTTGATCTTGTATTCATATTCTTTACAGGTATGTCCAAAATGAGCAAGCAGACAACGCCTTGTTGCTTTTCAAGGACTTTCTGGAGGAGGAAACTGAGGTTGGAGATGCCAATTACATTCCTCTCGATTCAGTCGTGATGGTGTCGGTTTTATCTGCCTGCGCTCGAGTATCAGGGAAGGGGATCACAGAAGGAATTCATGGCTTTGTGGTAAAGAAAGGCTTTGATGGGAGCGTTGGAGTTGGAAACACATTGATGGATGCATATTCAAAATGTGGGCAGCCTTTGGTTTCTAGGAAGGTTTTTGATTGGATGGAAGAGAAGGATGAAATTTCTTGGAACTCTATGATTGCAGTGTATGCTCAAAGTGGGTTCTCTGGGGAAGCTTTGGAGGTTTTCCATGGAATGGTGAGGCATGTTGGTGTTCTTTACAACGCAGTGACACTATCGGCTGTTCTATTGGCTTGTGCCCATGCTGGGGCATTGAGGGCTGGCAAGTGCATTCATGATCAGGTGATTTTAATTTTTACCCACTAAAAATGTGAGATCCACATCCCTTGGAGAAGGGAACGAAACATTCCTCATAAGGGTGTGGAAACCTCTCCCTAGTAGACGCATTTTAAAACTCTGAGGTTGACGGCAATACGTAACGGGACAAAACGGACAATATTTGCTAGCGGTGGGTTTGGACTGTTACAAATGGTATCATAGCCAGACATCGGGTAGTGTGTCAGCGAGGACGCTGGCCCCTCTAGGGGGGTGGATTGTTGTGAGATCCCACATTGGTTGGAGAGGGGAACGAAACATTCCTCATAAGAGTGTAGAAACCTCTCCCTAGTAGATGCGTTTTAAAACCTTGAGGTTGACGACAATACGTAACGGCCCCAACCGACAATATCTGCTAACGGTAGGCTTGAACTGTTACAAATGGTATCATAGCTAGACACCGGGCAGTGTGCCAGCGAGGACGTTGGGCTCCCAAGGGGGGTGGATTGTGAAATCCTACATTGGTTGGAGCGGAGAACGAGACATTTCTCAAAAGGGTGTAGAAACCTCTCTCTAGTAGACGCGTTTTAAAACTGTGAGGCTGACAGCGATACTTAACGAGCCAAAGCGGAAATATCTGTTAGCGGTGAGCTTGGACCGTTACAAAAAAGCTTTGAATCTTATTTGTTTTAAGTTAGAAAATACCTTTGGCTCTCGAATTTTTACGGAAGTAACAATTTATTGCCTAAACTTCAGTTTTGTTCTTTCAAATGTGTAACAATTTAGTGTTTAATAAGTAATAAATTGATTAGGGATCAAATTTGTCCGTAAACCATATGAAAGACTAAGTTGTTGTGTGGTAAAAATTAACAATAACTTTGTTGAGATTGATCATAATAGGAATTTGCTGCTGATTCATGTAGGTGATAAAGATGAATTTGGAGGAAAATGTGTGTGTTGGTACCTCCATAATTGACATGTATTGCAAATGTGGTAAAGTTGAAATGGCAAAGAAAACTTTTGATCGTATGAAGGAAAAGAATGTAAAGTCATGGACGGCCATGGTTGCTGGTTATGGCATGCATGGCTGCGCCAAAGAAGCTCTCGACATCTTCTACGAGATGGTTCGGGCTGGAGTGAAGCCAAATTACATCACTTTTGTATCTGTTCTTGCTGCATGCAGCCATGCTGGTTTGATAAAAGAAGGCTGGCACTGGTTTAATGCCATGAAGCATAAATACGATATCGAGCCAGGGATCGAGCATTACGGTTGCATGGTTGATCTATTAGGACGTGCAGGATGCCTTAATGAAGCTTACAATTTAATCAAGGGAATGAAGATGAAACCTGATTTTGTTGTCTGGGGCTCTCTTCTTGGGGCTTGTAGAATCCACAAGAATGTGGACCTCGGCGAGATTGCTGCTCGAAAATTGTTTGAACTCGATCCAAATAATTGTGGGTACTACGTATTACTGTCGAACCTTTATGGAGATGCTGGAAGGTGGGCGGATGTCGAAAGGATGAGAACGATGATGAAGAATCGTCAATTGGTTAAACCGCCCGGGTTCAGTTTGGTTGAACTGAAAGGCAGAGTTCATGTTTTTCTGGTTGGGGATAAAGAGCATCCTCAACATGAGATGATTTACAAGTATTTGGAGACACTAACGTTGGAGCTTCAAAAGATAGGCTATGTGCCAAACTTGACCTCAGTTCTTCATGATGTTGACGAAGAGGAGAAAGAACTCACTTTAAGAGTTCACAGTGAGAAACTTGCTGTTGCCTTTGGAGTGATGAACTCTGCTCCTGGAACAACCATAAACATCATTAAAAATCTTAGGGTCTGCAGAGATTGCCATACCGCCATTAAGTTAATTTCTAAGGTCGTTTGTCGAGACTTTGTCGTCCGAGATTCAAAGCGGTTTCATCATTTTAAGGATGGGATATGTTCTTGCGGGGATTATTGGTGACACTTATCAAGGACTTCATTAAGTACTTTGAATCGACTCGATCCGATTCTTGGCTTGGATGAAGCATCTGAATTGTAACCGTGCTTGGGCTCGAACCTCGATCTTATTAAACACGGTATATGCTTGAATTGAACATGGTTTATGGCACATGCTTGGATTCTAGGCGAGGAGGGCGGTTTCAAAAGCAATGTCTATGGCCCATGCTCAGAATCGAGCCGAATCGAGCTAAGAGTGTAAGCAATTATCTAATGCTGAAGGAAACTCCCTAAGTTCAGGTCTTCGAAATGTTGGTCGACTCAACGTACCAACCCTGATCCCTATTTTAGATGACAATAATGTATAAATAGAGAGTTATCAAGTAATTGGTAGTTATATTTCAAAGCGCGGGAAAAGATTGGAAATGACTCACCATTTAAAAATTCAAGTAGCAGCGCTGTCATTGGGAATTTTAATTTAATTTTTCTGAAGAGGTATAAATACGAGGCACAACACTCTGAACTCTTCATATTTGAATTGGAATTTTATTACCATTTTCCTTTTTCCTTCCCTCTCTCTCGCTCTCTATTTCTTCCATGGCCATCTCAGAATCTCCGTCCCGTTCTTCTCTGATCCCTAATTTCCTCTACTCCTCTTCGGCCTTTCTAATCCACAAGATCCTCGAATCCTCCATTTCGATGAAAGCCTTTGCGATTCCCTCTCCGACTGAACCGAGAAAGAAATTGGAAATGTATTCACCGGCTTTCTACGCCTCTGTGCCTCGGTGGAAGCCTCCGCTGCGGTCTCACTCGCATGGCCGTCCCTCCTCTCGATCTCGTCACGTGCAATATGCAGGTGAATACTGCCTTCTCAAAAGAGTAAGTTCTCAAGGTTTTTGAGCGAATTGATATTCTTCCGTATTTTAATATTTCGGAAATTTGTGGCTGTTGAAGCGTTTCTATAAAATTTAGGCATGTTTCCTCGAGGATGCTGAACTATATTGATCTTTATGCTACAAATTTTCGGCACGTTATTAGTCATTTCAATCAGATCGCATTTCTTGCTTGTTTCTAGTCTATATGCTTGATCGTGTCTCGATGATCTAAATATTTAGGATTCAGTTTTATTGCAAGATAAACTAATAATAGATTAAGAAGGAAAATGAGTGAGTTCTGTATGATAGCTTCTTAAATAGCAAATATATATATGTGTGTGTGTATATATATGCTCTCAGTATTTAGGATTCAGTTTTATAGCAAGATAAATCAATAATAGTTTAAGAAGTGAAAATGAGTGAGTTCTGTATGAAAGCTTCTTAAATGGCATATATATATATATATATTGAAAGGATGCTCTGTAGTCCGTCCTGCAGATAGAGTGGATAGCTATCTTGAGATTTTGGCACCGAGCGGTTTGTTGCAGAAGCATGATCTTATAGTTTCACAAGTTGTTTTAGAGTTCCATATTCGATCTGTTGCAAGGTCTGTGGTAGTCGTACGAAATTATTTGTTATAGCTCTGTTTTCTCTTGCTTGATAAAGACGTGCTTTAGTATTATTCTAACGCCTTATTAAGCTGCATTTCCTTATGAAATTTGCTTTATCCGTAATGTTACTGACTGAGCATGCAAATATAAAGCATAACTCGTTATATGTTGAAGAATGATAGCAGTTCTCTCTCTCTCTCTCTCTCTCTCTCTCTCTCCGGAAAAGAGAAATGATCAATTATTGTGCTTAGGTTTCTCATCTTGATAATCTTAGTTCTCAAAATATACCAGATTATGCCGTGTGTTCTCTGTTTTTTGAAATGCTTGTTGGTTGTTTTCTTTAATTATTTTCTATTAGATGAAATCTCTTGCCTTCCTTCTTCCTTGCGTTTTGCTATCTTCTATGTATTCTATCATAATACTCTTCAATATATATATATATATATTTCATACATTTGTTTTTATGAAATTATGTAAATAAACTTCTAAGATGAATTGACATATGAAGGTATAAATTTCAAATTTCTAACTTTTGATTGATTGATGTTATATGCCTTAATCAATTAAAGTTGAGTTGAAATTGTATTCTCTATCATATAAAAACATAATTTGCAATTTAATGTTATTCTTTAAATCCACGTAGCTTTATAATGATATGCATCACATTGTAATAGTATTTTAAACTTTCATTGTGAAAATGTGCCATTTAGTGATTGTCTCATTATTTTCTTCAAATTGAATTTTCCTTTGTAATTGGCAATTTTGTTAGAATATGTTTTCTTTTGCCAAATATATCATACTCTAGCATATTTCTACAACAGTATGCTGTGTTTATTATGGACATAAGTCCTTATGATATATATATTTTTTTCACTCAAAATTTTCTATGGAGATAGCTACGATCTTTCTTTTACGAGCTAATATTGTAGGACTTAAGTCCCATTCCCAACTGTTAAGGATAGTTGACCGTCACTATAAGGCAAATATCTAGATATTTGCCTTACATTACGGGTTACCATATTTGCCCTCTTATTAAAGGCAAATATATTGCATTCATTTATTATTCTTTCCTTTTATTACTATTTCCATAATATTTGTAATTTACCATATTTCTGTATTCTGAAAATAATTATAAATAAGAGAACTCTCACCCCCATTGAGGTGTGGTGATTCAGCAAACATTCACACCAACAATACTTTTAATTACTGTGTATGAAAAATTTTGAATATCGTAACTTATTCATACTAGTAATAGCATTTCCAATGTTCTAAACTTATTTTTCATCCTCAATCAATTTTTTTTGTCCTGTGATATATGTTTCCTTGTGTGTTCAATTCATATGCCAACACTAGCATTTCATCTGATTTTGGAGTTCATCTAAAGGAGCAGGGAATCGGGCCTCTATAGGGGTGGGACGCAAGAATGGTAAGTATGAATTCTTTAAGAAATACTATTCAGATATAAATTGGTCCCAAGTATGCAGCGAAGCACAAGACATTGATCTATCTTTCTGACTCTACATCTGCTGAAGTGATTGCAGATGTTGCTCTTTGCCCCTTTGAAGCTGTTAAAGTTAGTTCAAACTCAGCCAGGTTTTGCCAGAGGTCTGTCTGATGGCCTTCCCAAATTTGTCAAATCTGAAGGTGCCCTTGGGTAAAAGCTCACTCTATGATCGTCTTCTGTATCGTCTCTGTATTTAATTGCACAGCTTGCTGCCTGCTCGTACAATCTGTGTTTTTGTAGTAACCATTTCGTTTTTGCAGGTTGTACAAGGGTATACCATCTCATTTTCCTTGGCTAACGCATGCAAAAAAAATAAAAATAAAACCATTACATTTTACAGATACAAGGATGAAGTTTGCAACATTTGAGAACCTGGTGGAACATCTACGAGCATAGCGTCGGTGAGGTAATATTTGTACCTTAAACAGTTCGATACATCCCCGACTTTTTTCTTTTTAAAGTAGGGTAAAAATAAATCTATACTCCTAAATTTTAATAATTCTATCAATTAAAATTTTAAAATTAACTTGAAATTTCCAAAAAAAAAAAAAAAAAAAAAAAAAAAAAAAACTTACTCTTACAAAATTTCTTTAAAAGCATGTTCTTGCATCTATTATTAGTTCAGTTGATCGAATGAGGTGGAATACTTGTCGTAAGTAATTTTGAATATGAGAAACTAATGTTTAATGTTTTCCATTTTAGTCTATGAATTTTCAACTTCCTAAATCTCCATGTTTTTAATAGATCTTAAATTGAGTCTTTTTATCAGAAGTAGTTATATAATAGTAATGATAATTTTCATGTGAATGGTTTTTCAAACTTTATAAAGAAATGCTTTACATGCTAATTAAAAAAACAAACTAATAGCATGGACAAAATTTGAGTTTCTTGAAAATTCAGGATTGAATTTAGACATTTAGAGTTAACTAGAGGATTGAAAATAAGTAAAAAATAAATTTAGAGTTAATTAGAATATTAGGGGAGGGTAGTTTTCTGTCACGTTGCCGCAATGAGAGAACCATAAAAGAGAGCCACGCAGAACGGGTAGTAGTCTACACCCTGATCTCAAGTTAACGTGGTTCTACTTTTCCTTTTTAGTTATAGGGGATGATTCTACCTTTCTTTTTTAGTTTTAGGTGATGAATTGGTTTTAAATAATCCTTAGCCAAACGTATGTATGCATCATTGTTCGTGTATATTGATGGGTTTACCCTCCCTATGACATTAAGAAAGTATAAGCAAGTCATGAGATTTGATATATTTTAATATGATTTGAAGTTTTATATTTTCTTCAAAATTAAAGTTTTGAAATGAATAAAACTAGAACTAAATTAAATTAAACCACAAGTTCTTATTCTCTTATCCAACAAAAAATGCGTTTGAAGTATGTGACTAACAAGCATCTTGATCTTTCTATATTTTTTTAAGTTGTTACAAATACAGTCAAAATTAAAACTTTAAATATACGTAAAATTCAATTCTTTAAATCAAACTTATTAGATGTAATTAATTATAGAACTATTATTTTAATAGGATGATTTCTAGAATGGAAAAGAAAACTACATGTTACTATTATAGCCTATTATAGCCCATTCAAAATAAAATAATGTGAAACGGTGCAAAAGGAACTTTATTTTTAAAGTAGGATTGGATTGTGATAACACATTTAAATCGTTTAAATTTAACAAATAGCAAATACGAAGAAATCATAAATGAAACATACCCAGGTTTAAAATCAGTCTAACTCTGAAAGAAATAATTTCTGGATACAAAAATGGGGGTCTTGTATATTAGCTTTTAAAAGGCAGTAATCTTAAAACAAAAGGATTAAAAGCTTTTCTTGGAAATTAGCTTGTAAAAGTCAGTACCTTTAAACAAATGATTTTTCACTCAATATGCAATTTATGAATAATAGAACTGACAAAATTGGTGACCTGTTAATGTTTAGAAAAATTAGAAACCGGTAACATGAACCTCCGAACAATATATAGACTTTCAAACTAATCTGGTTAAAAAAAAAAAAAAAAAAGATTAAAACTCACATCGAAGATAAACCGATATTGGCACTATAAGAAAACGACAACAAATAAGTGTAATCCAACATGCCTAAAGTTTAAAATAAAATCCCCGATATAAACCAAACACACACTACTAGACAGTTAAAAGTGAAAACTAAGTTCTAAATTCATTGTGAATCTAATGGCAAGTTTGAGAGTAGAAATGGTCAAATTCACTCTTGTCAAATCCAAAATCACTCCCAGGCATGCCTTTAACTATTCAAAATCAATTTAATATTTGGCTTTATACTTTTAAATGCAATTTTTTGAATAATGAAAATTGATTTTGAAATGATTCGAAGACATATTTGGTGATGTGGAGCAAGAGATCAGTGATTTTAGCAATTTCTAAACTATTCCAGAACGTGGCCCATGTAGTTCAGTGGTTGAGACGTCGCTTTTTCACCCCAGACCTTACATTTCTAGAACTATAAAGAATAAATTCATTGATTTGAAAAACACAAAAGTTATAAATCGAGTAAAACCAGAAACTGCATTATCAAAACATGAACCCCAAAATATTAATCCATTGCATCAAGCCCTTGAAGAAAAGAAAACTAATGAATACGGGGAAAACAGAAAAGAACAGAGGGAAAATGGCCGTGATACAAAAAGAAGCATATAAAAATAAATAAATAATTTTTTTAAGAAAAAAACCATGATGGAGGGGAAAAAACACACGAACAATGTGAGAATAAGGAAAATAGTAAAGAAGAAGTATACCTGGCAAGTCCTTCCATCAAAAGACCCTGAAAATAATCAAGCAGCTCATACGGCCAACTCGAAACATGTTATTAACATTATGTCAGCGACTATTTGACTACAAATTGCTTAATTGATTTGCATTCTCAGCCTAATTTCTCTCTAATCATATATTCAAGGCTACTGCAATTTATAAAGAAGGTTGCCAACCTACCATAACTTCTATTATCGTTTACTCTAGAAAGATATTATTACGATGATGACATAAAAAGGACAACATTGTTGATGAAAGCAAAGTAGATGAGTTATGAGTTAAAAAGAATTAAGAAATAACGCTGATTAATTGAGTAAATGAATGCAAACGTAGGTAATGTCTAAACAAATATTGTTGATGAAAGCAAAATAGATGTGCTTCGGTTATCTTCATAGCTCAAATGTACAAAAAGATTGATTTGTGGTCATGATAGTGAACCAAGTTTATGACCGTGAAAAGACTACCTGAGAAGCAAATATTTACTGTATTGCCACCCTGGTTTATTTCAACCAGATAGATATTGAACTTCCATAGGTATCAATACAATAAATACCAACTCAACCTTCACAGAAGACTAAAAAGCACAGCAAATTAAAAAAGTTTTTTAAAAAAAGACTAACACACACATTGGCCAATAAGATGGAAGTATTATAAATAAATGTACGAGAATCAAAATGAAAATTGAATGTGCAGGCAAAAAAGAAACCGGCAATATGAAAGAGAATAACCAGGAAAGAGAAAAGGAAGAAACGTAGCATACAAAATATAGGCCAATTATAGGAAAAACAACCGACACTTCATTATCAGTTTATGTCAAATCAAGCACTAGCTTACAAATCAAATGATTTAACATGCACTAAAACAACTACTAGCCGATAGAATGCGATAATATTCAAATCTTGAGCCAAAAACAAGCACCACTCGTTCTTAGTATGCGGTGCAACTTTAAGTATGTCAAATAATGACATGATTTCACGGCAAAACTTTTGAGACGGAAAATCAAACAAAACTGTTTCAGAATAAAGACAGCTGATAAAATTAGAATTAGCGAGAAAATACAGCAATTTTGCGCAATCATGTTCACACATCATAAATTGCATCAACATGATGTAGTGGATAGAATAACTTTAGGCGTAATCTTAATTTAAATAAAATTGTGGAAACACTGAACACAATTGCATTTCACCTTTATATGACAAAAGTAAAGATCCGAATACAAAAAGATGAGATGAAAGTTTTATAAAGATCAGTTTATGGTCCTTCAGCGTAACATCCTTCATTGTTCAATACTAAAGTCCTCCAAAAGTAAAATCAAAAGAGAACAATCAAAGCTGTTTGAAGTAGAAAGGCAATGCACACACTAAAGCATAAGCCACATGCAAGAAAGAACAGGATCTGCATAATACAAAATTGCGCAGCATTTCTGTCATCTGGTTTGATATGTTAATCTTTTTTTTTCTAATCATCAAACGAAAACATTTTTCGGTTTCTAACTGCTACTTTATAAGCTCTCACAGACAAAGAAAAAGACTAAAAGCATACGGTCCTATAATCCTCAGTTGGAAATGAAATCCTCACATTCCAAATACTAAAGCTTAATATTGGATGGCAACATGCAAATTTGAAATATGTTAATCATTCAACTGAAAAATATTTTGCTATGCCTATTTCTTATTAACATTTTGCACTTCCATTATAGAACTACCGTCCGGACTTCCAGTTTCACTGTGCACATGGACGTCAAAGGGAGGATACAAGTGAAGCTCCAACTAAATCGTCGATCATAATGTAATAAAAACTAGAATAATCTAGCATAAATATTTCATATAATTTCTTTCTCCTAAAGAACACTAAAACATATCACGGAGAAAAACTAGTGAACGTGGAATATCAAAGAAAATAATAGAATCATATCTTACCTCCGCAAGAAAATTAACATACATAGGAGAAATTTTCTACGCAAACACTGGAAAACAGAATAAATTATCAAAATCAGATGAATCCTTCGCACCGTAAGAAGAAATGATAGCGTTACCGGGAGAATGAATGAAGAGATCTCGAGTACGACCGCCGGAAGGCAATCGGACGGCGTATTCTTCTACTGCAAACCTCGACTTACTTACGATTCCCTCGGCATCAACGAAGTCGTTCAATGCGAGATCGATAAGTAGCCATTGATGATCGGAATACCGCTTGCGAGTGCCTTCGCGCTCTGAAACTCGCCAGTCAAATATGTTCTACGAAATGTTCCCTCTAAGTTTGGGTTTTCAATGTTCATTCCTTTTATACCCCAAGCCAGAGGAAGTACTATTAAATGGGCCTTTTGGCCCGGCCCATTTCAGCGTGCATAACTACCCAGTTGGTGGGTAAATCAAAATGGGCCGTAATATATACCCTAACTTTGATAGTTTCTAATTAATTATTTAAAAATACTACATATTCAAAATTTCCGCAATATAGTAACCATAATAAGATTTTACTAAATAAAACTCATATAACTTCCGAGACTAAACTCGTTATTTAGTCTTATTTTTTAAGTAAATAAGAATATCACTGAATCTCGGCTACATGGTCGAGCCTCTCATGATCGCTCCTTCTCTAGAGTCCTTGAACAAAATATACCATTTATTTGACATTCGAGTCACGTCGAAATTCACAAACTTGTAATTTACACATATTAGCTGACGTGGGACTTTCATCCAACATCTCCTCGAACAAAGTACGCCTCCCCGTAATCGTTGTCGAAATTCACAAACTTGTAATTTACACATATTAGCCAACGAAGGACTTTCATCCAACATCTCCCCTCGAACAAAGTAAGTCTCTCCTTAATCGAGGCTCGAGTCTTATTCATTTTTTTACTATGCTTTCGAGGCTCACAATATTTTGTTCGACATTTGAGGATTCTATTGACATGTCTAAGTTTAGGGCATCACTTTGATACCATATTAAATGAACACGAGTCTCCACAATGGTATGATATTGTCCACTTTGTGCATAAGCTCTCATGGCTTTGCTTTGCGCTTCTACAAAAGGCCTCATTTGAATGAAGACAGTCGGGATCATTCCTTAAATTAGCGGAGGTGGGACTTTCATCCAACAGACACCTGAGAATTTTATTGACATGATTAAGTTAAAAGATTGATTTCCCGAGAAACCTTCATAACAATAGAGGTTGTATTTTTTACTCATAAACCTATGATCTTCCTCGGACTACTGATTTCAATAATTCTCGACCCGTAAAAATAGGTATAAAAAATGAGAAAATGAAATACCTTAAATTGGAATAAAAATAGGAGGAAGAGGTGATGTAAGCAATGCAAAGCATAGCATCCAAGTTAAAGGGTTAAATGTTAAAAAGAATAAAAAGATGGAATTGGCAGAAGGGGAAGGGAAGGCGTTAGGGACTGCCTTGAAATTTCCCTATCAAACGCAGAGAATGGAATGATGCCAGCATTTCCCATTTACGTGGTCCATTGCCAAATTCACCCACCTATTCATTCCCATTTCATTTTACTCCAAAAAATTATTTCACTTTTAGCCTTAAGTTTTATGAATATTTCATTTTCGCCCCTAAACTCTTAAAAAATAAATATTTCATTTCAACACCATTATATTTTACTTGGGAGTTACATTTTATTAAATTCGGTGAACTAATAATAATAATGTTAATATATTTTCAAAATTTTATTAGTGAAAAACTAATATTTTTTAGAAAATTCGAAAATTCGAGTCAGTTCACAAGTTGAATTTTTTTTGGGTCGAGTGTTAAAAATGATGCTCTAATACCATGTGTTAAGAATGAGAAATAGAAATAGAAATAGAATTAGAATTGGGAAGGTGTGTATTTTCGTTGATATTGATATCTTTTAAATAAATATACAAGCTAGCATGTACAAAGGAGGAAAATATAAAATAATAAAATAAAATATATTGTAAATCAAATCATAAATAAAGAATATTAAGATATATTCTATAAATAATATATACTCTAAATATTATATTTCAATATCGAGTTATTTGGATCAGTAGAATTTTTAAAATAATTAAAATAAAATAGACAACCCAACCAAAAAATAAAAGGTTTTGAGTTGGATTATGAACTCTATTCAAGTTGTTCGGGACATGTACCCAATCAAATCGAAATTTCGAGTTGGTCTAAAAGATTTTTCGGACACTCCGATATTAAAAATAAAAATTAAAAAAAAAGTCATTAAAAAATTCGAAGAAAAATTGAAAATTAGTTGAAAATTAAGTATTTTGCGTAATTTACTTATTTTAAATTTTGGAAGGACAAGAAAAAAATAAAATGAAATTTAGGAAAAGAAAGAAAAGCTAGGTAGCCAATGGAATAGAAGGGACCACAGTTATATTTATGGGGCATTAAATTAAAGGATATATTATTTATTTGTTTGTTTGTTATTATTATTATTATTATTATTATTTATTTATTTATTTATTTATTTACTTTTTTCTTCTATTTTACTTGTTTCCTCCCAATCCATTTCAACAGTCAAAAGTAGGTAGGGCGCCCAATCCTTTAGGACCACGTACCTCCCCCATGCGCTATCATACCGCATGCTTCCCTCTTTTAACTTCAAATTTAACATTTTCATTCTCAATATTCATTAATTTATTTATTTATTTTCCAACTTATATCATATCCAATATTATAACATATGATTTTAATTTCCTCAAACTCATACTTCAAAGTCGAAATCAAAACTATTTATGGTGTTTGTTCGAGTAAAGTAAAAGATGTTGGATGAAAGTCCCACATCGGCTAATTTAGTGAATAATCATGAGTTTATAACAAAAAAAATACTCTCTCCATTGGTATTAGGCCTTTTGGAGAAGTCCAAGTCAAAACCATGAGAGATTACATTAAAGTTGACAATATCATACATTGTGGAGAAAAGTAAGCTGAGCTTAATTAAGGGGAGGTGTTGGATTCGAGAAGTTATAATAGAGAATTTTGGAATTTGTAAATTAAAATAAAAAATTTTAAATTGACCTAATATGAAAATCAAATACGAAATACCCACGTAGTTCACATGGTCTATCCCATCACCAAAGGAGCAATCAAAGAGCAACGATAATGATTTTTCTTAAAATAGTTATTATTAATTTAAAATATTATTATTAATATCATCATCATTAATAATAATAATAATAATAATAATAATAGTATTGATTATTGCTCCACTTCCCGGTCTCTCTTTTCCGCTTTGAATTTAAAGGACTGAATCCATAATCCCACGCAAGTGGAAATTATTTATTTTGCTATTTTATTTAATTTCCTTAATTATTTTCTCATTAAAAATCCTTAATTATTTTCTATTTTAACTCCATGAATCTTGCATTGCTTTTAAATATTACGATATTGCTAAATATAATTAGGTACGAGAAGATCCTATATTACAAAATATCTCCTTTTTCCAGGGAAAAACCATATATTAATGATTTTCTTATATAATACATGTATTTTTAAAAATAATAATTTAAACTAAATAATAAATTTATTAAATCAGTTATGCAGCTAATATAACTGGATTGTTTTTTCCACGTCATCAATTTCACTTAAAAAAAAAGTATTATTTAAAAAAAATATATATATATATTTATTATTGAGTGGGGGTGCTACGTCTAATATCAGACAAAATTTGCCAGGCTATATAACCACTCTCCCACTCCCTAATTAAATCTTTGTTTAATTAATTATTTTATTTTATTTTCTCACATGACAATAGAATTTTAAATTATAAAATTAGGAAAATGGTGTTACATTGAAAGACGCCCAACGAATAGACCGAGTCCAACTTCCTTTTATTTTATTTTATTTTATTTTTTACAATTTTTTTTTATTGCTCGCTTTTATTTTTTAACCACTCAAAAAGTCATAATACTTCGATAAATATATGATTTAATTGATAATTTAATGAATTTTCGTTTTATAATACAAAAATAATCAAATAACTGTAGTTTATATTGTATAAAAAATTTAAATAAATAAATAATATTTATTTAAGAAAACCCATGTGCTTGAATTTAAAAGAAAAAAAAATAAAAAATAAAAATGATAAAGAATAAACACGTGGCAGATTAGATAAAAATTTGACTAGAAAATGGATATCAATTAATTGTGGCTTACGGCTCTTAGATAAGACGTACGGTTCTAACTTAGAAAAGAAAGAAAGAAAAATAAAATGAATTGAAAGAGAAAGGGAAGTTTTGTAAGGTAAGAAGAGACGTTGAATAATGATTGTTTTTTGTTTTTGTTTTTTTAATTAAGTATTTTTATTATATTTAATAATTATATGACATATTTTATTTTTATTTTTTAAATTAATAATAAATTTGTGTCCGACCAGCAAGGCCAAATTAACATCGTCTTTGGTTGTAAACAAGAAGGTCGAAGTAAACAAGAAGGTGATCTTCGACCGTGACTTGATTAGTTTGGAATTCAATGCTGTACCCATTGATGCTCTCTACAGAAGTTCTTTCATCGTGATGTTGTGAAGTGTAATAGCTCGAAGTTTCACACTTTTAAAAAGTTTTCAACCAATTGAGAGATTCCATATTGGTTGGAGAGGGGACGCATGGAAACGTTGGGACTATTATTAGGTGCCGAATCCTGATTTCGAATATCTAACGCGTTATAAATGGTTTTAGAGTAATATTTCATAGTAAGATGGGTTCAAGGATGAACCAACACGGAAGCTGGTGTGCACGTGACACTTGAATAAAAAAGGGGTATATGAATGAATTGAGACTACATTCGAAAGTCATGTGACACTCACAGTAAGATGTGGTTCAAGGACAAAGAAAACCACGGAGGAGAAGGTGGCTGAAGAGCCTTGGACGTGAAATATTATTATTTAATTAAAAATGACACATTATTAAATAATATTATAAAACACATAATTACTCTAAAAACTTTCATTTTTTATATCCAACGAATGAATATTGTACACTGTTTTTGATATATCAATTTTTTTAAATTCATAAATATATTAATATAAAATTAAAATTTTAAAGTTCTATTAAGCATGATATTTAAATTTATATATAATAAATTAATTAAATTTTAAAATTTTAAATAATTGATAAATAAGTGAAAGTTCTACAAACTATTAAACTTTTATTATGAAAAATTAGGATATTAAACTTTTTTTTAATGGATGGTATCAACAAAACTTTTTAAAATTTATGAATATTTTAAAAATATTATTAAAAATTT